TAGATAGATAGATAGAAAGATAGATAGATAGAAAGATAGATAGAAAGATAGATAGATAGAATAGCTATAGATAGATAGATAGATAGAAAGATAGATAGATAGAATAGCTATAGATAGATAGCTAGATAGAAAGAAAGATAGATAGATAGAATAGCTATAGATAGATAGATAGATAGAAAGATAGATAGATAGAAAGATAGATAGATAGAATAGCTATAGATAGATAGATAGATAGATAGAACGATAGATAGATAGAAAGATAGATAGATAGAATAGCTATAGATAGATAGATAGATAGAAAGATAGATAGGTAGAAAGATAGATAGATAGAATAGCTATAGATAGATAGACAGATAGATAGATAGAATAGCTATAGATAGATAGATAGAAAGATAGATAGATAGAACGATAGATAGATAGAATAGCTATAGATAGATAGATAGAAAGATAGATAGAAAGATAGATAGAAAGATAGATAGATAGAAAGATAGAAAGATAGATAGATAGAATAGCTATAGATAGATAGATAGAAAGATAGATAGATAGATAGAACGATAGATAGAAAGATAGATAGATAGAAAGATAGATAGATAGAATAGCTATAGATAGATAGATAGAAAGATAGATAGATAGATAGAAAGATAGATAGAAATATAGATAGATAGAAAGATAGATAGACAGAATAGCTATAGATAGATAGATAGATAGAAAGATAGATAGATAGAAAGATAGATAGAAAGATAGATAGATAGAAATATAGATAGATAGAATAGCTATAGATAGATAGATAGATAGAACGATAGATAGATAGATAGAAATATAGATAGAAAGATAGATAGATAGAAAGATAGATAGATAGAAAGATAGATAGATAGAAAGATCGATAGATAGATAGATAGAAAGATAGATAGATAGATAGAAAGATAGATAGATAGATAAATATATAGAATAGCTATAGATAGATAGATAGATAGAAAGAAAGTTCGATAGATAGAATAGCTATAGATAGATAGATAGATAGATAGAAAGATAGATAGATAGAAAGATAGATAGATAGAAAGATAGATAGATAGAAAGATAGATAGATAGAATAGCTATAGATAGAAAGATAGATAGAAAGAAAGAAAGATAGATAGATATATAGATAGATAGATAGAAAGATAGGTAGATAGAATAGCTATAGATAGATAGATAGATAGATAGAAAGATAGATAGATAGAAAGATAGATAGATAGAATAGCTATAGATAGATAGATAGATAGATAGAAATAAAGATAGATAGATAGAAAGAAAGATAGATAGATAGATAGAAAGATAGATAGATAGATAGAAAGATAGATAGATAGAAAGATCGATAGATAGATAGATAGAAAGATAGATAGATAGATAGAAAGATAGATAGATAGATAAATATATAGAATAGCTATAGATAGATAGATAGATAGAAAGAAAGTTCGATAGATAGAATAGCTATAGATAGATAGATAGATAGAAAGATAGATAGATAGAAAGATAGATAGATAGAAAGATAGATAGATAGAATAGCTATAGATAGAAAGATAGATAGAAAGAAAGAAAGATAGATAGATAGAAAGATAAATAGATAGAATAGCTATAGATAGATAGATCGATAGATAGATAGATAGAAAGATAGATAGATAGAATAGCTATAGATAGATAGATAGATAGATAGAAAGATAGATAGATAGAAAGATAGATAGATAGAAAGATAGATAGATAGAATAGCTATAGATAGATAGATAGATAGAAAGATAGATAGATAGAATAGCTATAGATAGATAGATAGATAGAAAGATAGATAGAATAGCTATAGATAGATAGAATAGCTATAGATAGAAAGATAGATAGAAAGAAATATAGATAGATAGATAGATAGATAGAAAGATAGATAGATAGAATAGCTATAGATAGATAGATAGATAGAAAGATAGATAGATAGATAGAATAGCTATAGATAGATAGATAGAAAGATAGATAGATAGAAAGATAGATAGATAGAACGATAGATAGATAGAATAGCTATAGATAGATAGATAGATAGAAAGAAATATAGATAGATAGAATAGCTATAGATAGATAGATAGATAGATAGAAAGATAGAATAGCTATAGATAGATAGATAGATAGATAGATAGAAAGATAGATAGATAGAAATATAGATAGATAGAAAGATAGATAGATAGATAGATAGAAAGAAAAATATATAGATAGAATAGCTATAGATAGATAGATAGAAAGATAGATAGATAGAAAGATAGATAGATAGAATAGCTATAGATAGATAGATAGATAGAAAGATAGATAGATAGAAAGATAGATAGATAGAATAGCTATAGATAGATAGATAGAAAGATAGATAGATAGAAAGATAGATAGATAGAATAGCTATAGATAGATAGAAAAATAGATAGATAGAATAGCTATAGATAGATAGATAGAAAGATAGAAAGATAGAAAGATAGATAGATAGAATAGCTATAGATAGATAGATAGATAGAAAGATAGATAGAAAGATAGATAGATAGAAAGATAGAAATATAGATAGATAGAATAGCTATAGATAGATAGATAGATAGAAAGATAGATAGATAGATAGATAGAAAGATAGATAGAAATATAGATAGATAGAAAGATAGATAGATAGAATAGCTATAGATAGATAGATAGATAGATAGAAAGATAGATAGATAGATAGAAAGATATATAGAAAGATAGATAGATAGAAAGATAGATAGATAGAATAGCTATAGATAGATAGATAGATAGAAAGAAAGATAGATAGATAGAAAGATAGATAGAAAGATAGATAGATAGAAAGATAGATAGATAGAATAGCTATAGATAGATAGATAGAAAGATAGATAGATAGATAGAAAGATAGATAGAACGATAGATAGATAGAAAGATAGATAGATAGAATAGCTATAGATAGATAGATAGATAGATAGAAAGATAGATAGATAGATAGAAAGATAGATAGAAAGATAGATAGATAGAAATATAGATAGATAGAATAGCTATAGATAGATAGATAGATCGATAGATAGATAGATAGAAAGATAGATAGATAGAATAGCTATAGATAGATAGATAGATAGAAAGATAGATAGATAGAATAGCTATAGATAGATAGATAGATAGATAGAATAGCTATAGATAGATAGTTAGATAGATAGATAGATAGCTATAGATAGATAGATAGATAGAAAGATAGATAGATAGATAGCTATAGATAGATAGAACGATAGATAGATAGAATAGCTATAGATAGATAGATAGATAGAAAGATAGATAGATAGAATAGCTATAGATAGATAGATAGATAGAAAGATAGATAGATAGAAATATAGATAGAAAGATAGATAGATAGAATAGCTATAGATAGATAGATAGATAGAAAGATAGATAGATAGAATAGCTATAGATAGATAGATAGATAGAAAGAAAGATAGATAGAATAACTATAGATAGATAGATAGATAGATAGAAAGATAGATAGATAGAAAGATAGATAGATAGAATAGCTATAGATAGATAGATAGATAGAAAGATAGATAGATAGAATAGCTATATATAGATAGATAGAAAGATAGATAGATAGAAAGATAGATAGATAGAATAGCTATAGATAGATAGACAGATAGATAGATAGATAGAACGATATATAGATAGAATAGCTATAGATAGATAGATAGATAGATAGAAAGATAGATAGAAAGATAGATAGATAGAAAGATAGAAAGATAGATAAATAGAATAGCTATAGATAGATAGATAGATAGAAAGATAGATAGATAGAAAGATAGATAGAAAGATAGATAGATAGAAAGATAGATAGATAGAATAGCTATAGATAGATAGATAGATAGATAGAAAGATAGATAGATAGATAGAAAGATAGATAGAAAGATAGATAGATAGAAAGATAGATAGATAGAATAGCTATAGATAGATAGATAGATAGATCGATAGATAGATAGAAATATAGATAGATAGAATAGCTATAAATAGATAGATAGATAGAATAGCTATAGATAGATAGATAGAAAGATAGATAGATAGAATAGCTATAGATAGATAGATAGATAGAAAGATAGATAGATAGAATAGCTATAGATAGATAGATAGATAGAAAGATAGATAGATAGATAGATAGAAAGATAGATAGATAGAAAGATAGATAGATAGAATAGCTATATATAGATAGATAGATAGATAGATAGAAAGATAGATAGATAGAAAGATAGATAGAAATCTATCTATCTTTCTATCTATCTATCTATCTATAGCTATTCTATCTATCTATCTAGAATAGCTATAGATAGATAGATAGATAGAAAGATAGATAGATAGAATAGCTATAGATAGATAGATAGAAAGATAGATAGATAGAAAGATAGATAGAAAGATAGATAGATAGAAAGATAGATAGATAGAATAGCTATAGATAGATAGATAGATAGAAAGATAGATAGATAGAATAGCTATAGATAGATAGATAGATAGATAGAAAGATAGATAGATAGAAAGATAGATAGAAAGATAGATAGATAGAATAGCTATAGATAGATAGATAGATAGAAAGATAGATAGATAGAAAGATAGATAGATAGAATAGCTATAGATAGATAGATAGATAGAAAGATAGATGGATAGAAAGATAGATAGAACGATAGATAGATAGAATAGCTATAGATAGATAGATAGATAGAAAGATAGATAGATAGAATAGCTATAGATAGATAGATAGATAGATAGAAAGATAGATAGATAGATAGAATAGCTATAGATAGTTAGATAGGTAGATAGATAGATAGATAGAAAGATAGATAGATAGAATAGCTATAGATAGATAGATAGATAGAAAGATAGATAGATAGAATAGCTATAGATAGATAGATAGATAGATAGAATAGCTATAGATAGATAGTTAGATAGATAGATAGATAGATAGCTATAGATAGATAGATAGATAGAAAGATAGATAGATAGATAGATAGCTATAGATAGATAGATAGATAGATAGCTATAGATAGCTATAGATAGATAGATAGAAAGATAGATAGATAGAAAGATAGATAGATAGATAGCTATAGATAGATAGATAGATAGATAGAAAGCTAGATAGATAGATAGATAGAATAGCGATAGATAGATAGATAGATAGATAGCTATAGATAGCTATAGATAGATAGATAGATAGATAGAAAGATAGATAGATAGATAGATAGATAGATAGATAGATAGATAGAAAGATAGATAGATAGCTATAGATAGATAGATAGATAAATAGATAGATAGATAGATAGCTATAGATAGATAGATAGATAGAAATATAGATAGATAGATAGATAGATAGAAAGATAGATAGATAGATATATAGCTATAGATAGATATAGATAGATAGATATAGATAGATAGATAGATAGATAGCTATAGATAGATAGATAGATAGATAGCTATAGATATAGATAGATAGATAGATAGATAGATAGATAGATAGATAGCTATAGATAGATAGCTATAGATAGATAGATAGATAGCTAGATAGCTATAGATAGATAGCTATAGATAGATAGATAGATAGATAGATAGGTAGAATATTATCTGTAGGATATCATGGAATATGGTATATCTATCTATTCTATAGATGGAATATGAAATATGATGGAATATAGACCAAGAGAAACATTGGCAAAACTGGAATTGTTTCCAAAGCAGAATATGGAAAGTCAATGAACATCATGGATGATGGGTTTAGATCAACTGAAACAAATCGGTCACCTGGGGCATGGCCTATCAATTCTCATGACATATTTGGCTCATGTTGGTCCCCATGGTTTCTGGTTACATCACCCCGCGCAAGCGCGCTTCACCAAGGCGACAACTTCTGATCGTCATCTCCAAGCAGCTGCACTCCCGCGCACGCACACGGGAAGTGACGCACCTCGCCATAGTTTCCGCCGGCCAGTCGTGAGCAGTGGCTGCTAAGCCCTGGTTGGTTGATGATTATACGGGATTATATTCAATAGGGTAGTATACAGTATACTATACCAATTATATCCCATATGCTCCATGTATAGTATATGTACCTACATTTGAGCCATTTATGGGGTAAATGGTGGTAAATATTCCATACATGGAGCGTATGGGTATGGGATTATCAATAGGCTTGATATATTGGATTATACTACCAAATATACTGGGAATTGTGACAATCCAAAAACGGGGAATCCCTATGAACCAACCAGTATAATGCTGGAATCACAGAGAGATTTTGACCATTCATGTGGGAAACCCAGTGCTAAACGTTGATTAATGGTTAATAATGGTTGATAATGGCTAATAATGGGTGTAGAACTAACAATAATTTATAGATGAAAAATGGACAGTTGGAATACTGCGGGATAGCCAATGCCGTAAACAACTCCTACTTACGGATGGTCTATAGACCATATAGCGCCCATTTATGGGATTTTATGGTGATGGTTGATTATTGGGTTTACTACGTGAAGTTCTGTTTTTTGTTTTCCGGAACTGGAATATCAGTATAGGATTTTCAGCGAGGATTAGTATGTACAGCTGGATGGGTTTGTAACGGTTTGCCACATGGCTATGCGCGCAGCCAACATCCAGGGAAGAGTGCCATGAGAAGCTTTGCCAGAAATGGTTAACCAGTGATCCATACTGCATTTTTTTGTCACTGGCAAAGCGTGAGAGATAGAGATAAGATACGTATATCAATGGATTGGTTTAGGGGAAAATTTACAGGACAACCTAATATAAAAAATGGTAAAACACAATCTGGTTTCCTGAAAAAAAATCCCGTGAATACCAATCCATTGAGTATATACATGTCAAATGTGCAATTCTTTGAAACACTTTGAAGTTTGGGACCCCTGAGATCGCGCTGTTCCCACCCGAAAATAACCATACTCGGAGTCTGTAGATTCCAGTCACAGCCACCAACAAAAGTAGATTCCAATCATTCATCAACGAAATCTACGTTTGTTGGTGGCTGTTTTTTGTAGAATACTGCACGAAGGGTACCCATGTCCCAACTGGATAGTTACCACACCAACGCAAATCATCGGCCTCATGGTTCAAAACGCGTTTTTTGGCGAGTCGGTGATGAATTCCTCTCACATTGAGTCAGTGATGTGGGGTGTGACATGTTTTTTGCAAGGCCAACCATCTCGGGCCTTGCGAAGGAGTTGGCGGAAGTGGCCAAGGCGAGTCGTGGCGGAGTCGTGGGGACTTGATGATGAACGTTTGGGAGAACTTGGGGAGGTAATTGGATACTTCATGTGCCAATACATGCCAATACATACTGCAATGTAAGCCAAGAATATGGAGGGTTTTGACAAATTGGGGGTTCTTAAGTCATGACAGTCATGGGAAACTCCTAAATTCATCAAAGTTGCTCTTTATTTTTAATAGAACATAGTTGTGAACTGGGGTCCCCCAATTTCATTCATCAGAGCCACTTTTTCCTTCCCTCCCAGAACCGGGCGCCCCAGGTTTGCCTTTCGGGTGAGCGCCCCAAAGACGCAGCAGGGAATCCTAGGGATGGGATGTGCTGATTGGAATCAGCTGGTGCGCTGCTTGTGGGAATCAACTATGTGGGATTGCCATGGATTGCCCCAAAAGTTGAGAATACCTCGGTTGTTTCAACCCAAGAAAATGAGGTTTTACGACCCGTCTGACCGACTTTAAAAGAGATGATGGTTTAAAGTGGGAGCCGTCCCAACAATTGTATATTGTCATCTTAGTTTTGAGTTGGGAGTTGTTTTGTTTATTTTTGAGCGCAGTGTCCCCCTTTATGTGCGGTTCATACCACAATGAGTGTGGTGTTGTTTTCCACCCCATTCAATGAGTGTGACGATTTGCACCAAATGAAAGTGTGTTTTTACACCTTTAGGTTTGTTTGAACATGTTGGACCCCAGTTTTTGCAGACGATGATCATCACGTGTCCAATCCCGTTGCGGCTACGAAGCCTGCTGGCTGGTTTCAACATTGTTTCAACCCTTCAAACGAAAAAAAAAGCCCAACGAGCAGCTCGTTGAATCTCCGTTTCAACCATTGTACCGACCTGAAAATGTTGAGTCCCCATGACCTTAGCCTACATCAATGATTCATGGTGAAGTTCCCCCATGTTTTTCAATGTTTGGCGCTTCCCAAGCGCCGAGAGTTTCGAGAAGAGGCTGCTGTGACCATGCGTTGGACCTCGGACGTCTTTGATTTGCTGCTGCGGATGCACGAAGAGCAGCCAGGGGGCCCCAGCTGTGCTTGGAAACTGGCGAAGTTTGTTGTTCAACTTGAAATCCCGGCATTATGATTATGACTGATTATGAATTGTATATATTGAACCATATTCAACCAGAAAACATCTATGTAAACCTGTCAGTTTGCTGCTTAATTCAATTACGCAGAATCCTCATGGCTTGGTGCCATTTTTGGTGCCAAGGAACATCCGCCATGATGATGGCGAAATTCTTTGGTTTCCCACTTCCTAGATGTGGTGCTTTCCATAAATGGGGGTACCCCAATAGCTGGATTTGTTTATAATGGAAAATCAATCTATAAATGGATTAGCCCCATGACTTAGGAAACTTCCATGTAAGTCCTTGGAAAAGGATGGAAAAGGAACAATACAGCTCTACTTCCAACCGGGGTTGGCAAATGTCCGATAAACGGGCAATTTAGTACGTCACCTTGCAAAACTCCGTCGGGCTGTTGATCCCAAAGTTTTTTCAGAATGGATCAACATCGATTAATGTGGGTAAAACAATGACACAAACCACCCATGACTGGGAATGGTAAACATACCACCTATAAAAATGTTGATGACTGGGAGATGGTTTATGACATTTTGTCAACCACATTATATCACAAGATCAAATATCCTCATAGCTAGATGATGATGCCAGGAATCGTGTGGCTGTGCGCCCACTGAGTTTGTCGAGCTTCTATCAGGTCTACCGGCTTGGGGGAGCGGTTCCTCACATGAGCGGTGTTTAAGAACGTTTTTTTTTTTTATTATATGTTATATAATATATAGGGGGTTATACAATGTTATACAATTATTTTATATATTGGGAATTATCATATAATTCATTCCGTGATGATATGAGATGTATTGAGAAACTTGTTGCGATGAACTGGGAATTCATTCCTATGCCGTCTATGCCATGATAATATATTATACTAATCCATTCCGGGAATCCTGTTTGTGAAACCAAAGACATTCAGTGTGTTTTTCGCCGGGCACTGGTTGTGACAAGATTTTAGCATCAGCTCCTGGGCATGGGTCATCAGTTCTTTCCTTTGTTTTTTTAAATTGTCTTACTGGTGCTAAACGTAGGGAATGGATGGGTTGCTGGGGGTTGCTGGGATTCTTATCGACAGTCAGCCAGTGGATCATTCCCTCAGATTCCCTAGCACAAGTAAGTTATAGTAAGTTGGGGAAGGCACAACATGGCCGTAGGAAGGCAAATGTCGAGAAAATGGCGATGTTTCATGCGTTTGAAGCCCATCGGATGATTGGTATCCAAGATTGATGTAACTCTGAAACAGCAAAAACAGGAAAGCTATGGGAAGTGAATCTATGCTAAGCAAAAAAACGGTTGTGTGGATTCTTCAACAACAAACATCGGCTAGTTCCCTGTGGAAAGCTTGGTTGGTTCGTCCTTTTTTTGAAACTGTACTTGGGGGGTGCATCCCATTTAAATGGGTAATACCTCCAGTTATGGAAGATCCCCACTTAGATGGAGGTTTCCTAAGTCATGGGGGGTAGCCCCAAATCATCCATCGTGGGGTACCCCCATGTATGGAACCCCCCGCGATATGCCAGGTGGGTGGCTTCGAGCTGTTCGAGCCGCTTGGTGGAAATATCATCTGGGTTCGGTTCAGGGAACATGTAAGGAAAACCGGGAAACCATGTTTTTTTTTAGCATGTGCTGTATATATATATATATATATATCATACATATATATATGTGTGTTCATTTGAACGATGCTGATCAAGTGTTGAACAAAAATACTGCTTAAATGCTTGAATCATGTTAATCAGATATAAGGAATTTGTAACCCACTTCCATTTTCATGGTCCATGTGACTTTCCCTTGGGGATGTGAAGTCCCAGTGCGTCTGGCATCTGGTGTTGCCATAATCCTGGCGACTTGGGTGATTTTTGTCCAACCTATAACCATGGGACGTTCACCAACACATATGAGAATTCCAACCAGGCATGATACTGTTTGAACATAATGTTACAAGCCTGGTGTTTCATGGAGCTCTACAATCCGACGGGGAAATTCCGCCTTCAACCAGCAAGTTCGGGGATGAGGCCCATCTTGCAGACAGTGAAAAAGAACTTGGAACTGGAGTCAGGACGTTTTGAAACTCACACCTTTGCTGTGGACATTTTGGGTCCCGTGGGTCAAAGGAGCTGGTGACCGCTGGTGCTCCATCGAGCATGGATCTACACAGCTGGTGATAGTTTGGACCATTCTTTTCTGGTTGGTGGTTTGGAACATGATTTTTATTTTTCCCATCATATTGGGAATGTCATCATCCCAACTGACGAACTCATATTTTTCACACCAACCATTTTTTTTCGGAGGGATGGTAATCATTTGAGTCATGAGTCATACCTTGTCATTTCCATTTCATGACATTTGGGAAGCAATCTGGGCCAAAAAACGGGCGACGAGACTGGAATGAGATGTTGTATCAACTCAAGAGAGTCAATGCATAGGTTTGGGATGGCAACCGCGGCCACCATGTTTGCAAACCATTTTGCTACCAGTTCCAACTGGAGTTTTGCAGTGCCCGCACTGCAGGCATCTCATATATGTATATATATATATAGTAATCATATCTATATATATAGCAGCAAATGGCCATGTTCCCAAGATTTGACACGGAAGATACAACTCGCTTGTGTGTTCTTCAATAACCTGTGATGATTTTCCGGCTTGATCCAGTGGCGCGAAGCAACCACTAGAGGATTTGCCCATGATGCAGGACCCCCTGCACTCGGAAGCGCCCTGGCATACCTCGAAAAGGCCGGGCGGGAATGCTGGTGGATTTCTTCAGTGGCTATTTCAGGTACCGATTTATTGGAGGTACCTGCCATAAGGTCTATGTAAAGGCTAAAATTCAGGGGATATAGCCAGAAGTTATCTGGGTTTATATCGTACAGTACAGAAGTTGAGGTACCTGAAATTGCCATAAAGCAATTTGGATTCACCTATTCCCAAAAGGGACAAAAGGGAATGTCATGGAATGTAATGCATATGCAGCAGATGATAATCTGGTTGGTGGTTTCAGACATTGTTTGATTTGTGTAACCATATTTGGGATGATGATGCCCAATTACGAGCATATTGTTATCAGATGGGTTGAGACAACCAATCAGCACATAAGAACGACATGAATGCAACTTGTTGATAAGTACCTCATATGAGTCAACTCATGCCTTTGGGTTCAACCCTTTGTGATTCTGGGCGTGATTCAGCGGCAGGTTCTTACAATGTCAACCCCAGATTATGTTAAGGAAGTTGCTGCCAAAAGTTACTCAGCATATCTTAAAATCATTTAGCATCAAGCATATCCTATGTCTGTATTTTTTAAACATTTGTAACATTTCTAGGTCAAAACGGAAAAGACATGTGCAAAATCGAGAGTGGTCACTTCAAAATATGCTGTTCGTCAACATGGCCTGGCCATGGCCTGGCCATGGCCTTGGCAGCTCCGCTCCGCAGGTGACATCCCACAAGCGATTCACCAACGCGCCGCAAGCCATCAGCTCAGCGATCTCCCTGGGTCTCTCTCCTGGGGCCGGGTGAGGCCTGTCGGGTTGATGCTTGTTGATGGTTGGTTTATATAAATCCATCAACTACTATGTTATATATGATGTTTATTGATTTATAAACCTATGAAAACGATGATGGTCCATTAACTATAGTACGTTATATAAAATATGTGTTGATTTATAAACCTGTGACAACTATAGTTATATTATGTTATATGAAGTTATATTATATGCCCCACAAAGCCAACAGTAAACGTATGTGCGTCAACTTAGATATCGTTTGCGGGCCTCACTCTGTAGTAAACCATTCCATGTGGCAGTGGCTAGAAGTAGCTTAGTATAGCACTAAAACCCCTAGTAGGTCCTAGTCCTCAGGTAATTTACCACATTCATTGCCCTCATGTTTGACAGGGGTTGGTAAATGTCCCATTTTGGGTATATTGGACATCACCTAAAAAAGTAGCCATGGCATTAACCATATACCGATCATGGTTGGGTGATGTGAAAAATGGGGACATTTACCCTCTGGTAAACTAACATAGCATTGGAAAATCACCATTTTTAATGGGAAAATCCACTATAAATGTCCATTTTCAATAGCTATGTTAAATTACCAGAGGGTAATGACCCATGTTTGAAAACAACATATTTTCAGGTCATGGCTTAAGATGCGAGTTTCAGGAGCCGTCCTTTGGCGTTTGTGGCTACGAAGCCTATCTAAGATGTTGTGCCCATTGGATTTATCCTAGTGGTTAATCTATGGT